TATTTATATATAAATACAAAAAAAAAAATTCAGCAATTCATTCAACTTAATCTAAAAAAATATTCAAAACAAGCAATTTTAAGATAACACCATATGTAAAACAGTCGGCCAAGAAAACAACAACGATATCACATCTTTCTCACATATTCACACACAATCTTGATTAATAATTAAAACTAATCTTTAACATTGTTTATTATACTTCATAATATATAATATTCGTTAGGCAAACTTTCAGTCGGATAAAACCCGGGCGAAGCCGGGTACACATCCGCTAGTATATATATATATATATGCAGTGACTATAACTTTGTATATTGGTTGATAAATGTGACCCAGGACATCTACTGCCAGTACCGGGTGTATCTGGACCAGGAGAGTACCGTCACAGAGACCATCTCCTCCACCTCCAATCCCACCTTCAACCACAGGAGGCTCTTCTCCTTTATTCCCGTCACCTCCCAGGTATCTCCTCCATTCCCCCGGTACCTCCTTCATTCCCTAGGTACCTCCTTCATTCCCCAGGTACCTCCTTCATTCCCCAGGTACCTCCTTCATTCCCCAGGTACCTCCTTCATTCCCTAGGTACCTCCTTCATTCCCCAGGTACCTCCTTCATTCCCCAGGTACCTCCTCCATTCCCCAGGTACCTCCTTCATTTCCCAGGTACCTCCTCCATTCCCCCGGTACCTCCTCCATTCCCCAGCTACCTCCTTCATTCCCCAGGTACCTCCTTCATTCCCCAGGTACCTCCTTAATTCCCCAGGTACCTCCTTCATTCCCCAGGTACCTCCTCCATTCCCCAGGTACCTCTTTCATTCCCCAGGCACCTACTTCATTCCCCAGGTACCTCCTTCATTCCCCAGGTACCTCCTCCATTCCCCCGGTACCTTCTCCATTCCCCAGCTACCTCCTCCATTCCCCAGGTACCTCCTCCATTTCCCAGGTACCTCCTCCATTCCCCAGGTACCTCCTCCATTCCCCAGGTACCTCCTTCATTCCTCAGGTACCTCCTTCATTCCCCAGGTACCTCCTCCATTCCCCAGCTACCTCCTTCATTCCCCAGGTACCTCCTCCATTCCCCAGGTACCTCCTCCATTCCCCAGGTACCTCCTTCATTCCCCAGCTACCTCCTTAAATCTCCAGGTATCTCCTCCATTCTCCAGTAGTGTATCTTGTGTTACATCCTTACTTTTACCATTAAAACATACATTGATGGAAAGAACTTGAGGAAATGGACAGTCTTTGATATCGACAGTCGTCTATTTTTTTAGAAGGAGATAGAGGCAATTTTGTCTATACTTGGTTATCTCGTGTGTCTTCAATAAAATTTACTGTATTATCTTTCAGAGTTATTTTCTGAATATCCCGATATACATGGTAAAAGGTACAACTTTCTTAAGTTTTGTCCATGAGTGATTGATTTATCGAATCACCGTAGCCTTCTCTATCCTTTTAAAATCTTGGCATTTGGTTTGGGTGCCGCTCTGCCGTAGGTTAAGTGGTTTTTCTTTCTTGGCGTTATTATAAAGGGTAGGTTATGGTATCCCACCTCACTATCTACTTATATATTTGCCTTATTCTGTCTGCTTGTTTGTCTGAAGCTCACGGATAGAACGCGCGCCCATTGGCTGCCAGCAAACACGTGACCTCCCTGCCCGCCCCCCTCTAGACAACCCTGTTATCAGCTGTGTGATACATACACCTGTCTATAGCGGCCATTCTAGACAACCCTGTTATCAGCAGTGTGTTACATCCACCTGTCTATACAGACCACCCTGTCTATAGCGGTCACTTTAGGCAACCCTGTTATCAGCAGTGTGATACATACACCTGTCTATACAGACCACCCTGTCAATAGCGACCACTCTAGACAACCCTGTTATCAGCTGTGTGATACATCCACCTGTCTATACAGACCACCCTGTCTATAGCGACCACTCTAGACAACCCTGTTATCAGCTGTGTGATACATCCACCTGTCTATACAGACCACCTGTGTATAGCGGCCATTCTAGAAAACCCTGTTATCAGCTGTGTGATACATACACCTGTCTATAGCGGCCACTCTAGACAACCCTGTTATCAGCTGTGTGATACATCCACCTGTCTATACAGACCACCCTGTCTATAGCGGTCACTTTAGGCAACCCTGTTATCATCAGTGTGTTACATTCACCTGTCTATACAGACCACCCTGTCTATAGCGACCACCCTAGACAACCCTGTTATCAGCTGTGTGATACATCCATCTGTCTATACAGACCACCCTGTCTATAGCGACCACTCTACAGCTGTGTGATACATCCACCTGTCTATACAGACCACCCTGTCTATAGCGGCCACTCTAGGCAACCCTATTATCAGCTGTGTGATACATCCACCTGTCTATACAGACCACCCTGTCTATAGCGGCCACTCTAGGCAACCCTAGGAAGCAAGATGTATGCAAGGTGTAGACAAGATGAAGATCTAGATGAAGATTAAAACGTTTTTAAAATATATTCGCACTCGGGTAAAACCCGGGCGTTGCCCGGGCCATTCGTCTAGTTCAAATATAATTGCTTTAGAAAATGCAACTCTACGTCGTGTCTCAGTTCCAGGTGTACAGACTTCGGTCTAGGTCAGAAGTCGGCAACCTGCGGCTCTTTGGATGTGAATCTGCGTCTAGTACTCGTATAAGTAAAAGCTTTATTTATGCGAGTACTATTTGTTATTGCCAGCCAAAAGTGTGTGGCTCTTTAGAAACTTTGCAATTTTATAAATTGTAATTTTTATGACTCTTTCGACTCAAGAAGTTTGTCAATCCCTGGTTCTTGGTAGCCCACTACCCATTGGTGTCTCTCTAGTGTGCCAACCAGATGTGGTTCCAGGTGCTGGAATACCTGAAGGAAGGAGTTCTCCAAGTGGAGGTCTGGGGTCGCCAGGTGGCAGGCAAAACTGCGGTGGACTTTCTCAATTCCTCCAAGGGTCGCTTTCAGGAGGACCTCATGACCCATGCCAGCACTCTCATGAACGGCTTCAGACTGGATGGGCGCGTGAGTCTTTTACTGGAGTCCATCATTCGGATTCCACATCGTTGTTTCTTCTATATAGGCATTTTACTTCCACAGCTAGTAGTGTGATCTTCATTTAAATATTCAATTGGTTAGTTGGCATTCAGGATAAACTTCATAGGTCACCACGTCTTTAACATCGAAGAAGTTGTTGAAAGCTAATCCTAAAACATCTCTATGACGAATTGATTAGTTTATTACCCATTGTTATGTGTGCTGTTATAAGGTAGTGGCAACATATAGGTAACCCAGGCTCCTGGAGCGTATCCATAGATCGCTATCTACCCAGGCTGTCCTGCGGTTTAGAAGTCTGTCTTAGTCGCCTTAGTGAAACAGTTCACCAAGTGTTACCTGGCCGGTTTGTTTCTTGGTAGATTTGTTGTTAACGTGATAGTTACACTCATGGAAAAAAGGAAGTTGTACCTTTTAGAATGTATATCAGGATTCAGACAATAACTCTGAAAATTTTTGATGCACAATGACCTTTATTGGAGACACACGAGATAACCAAGTGTGAACAAAATTGTCTCTCTCTCCTTAAAAAAATAAAAATAAAATAAACGACCACCTACTTTCTACTTCCTTATGTTTTGTCCATGAGTGTATATAGAAGTAATTTATAACTCAGTAGCACTCTACTAAATCTAGTTTTCCTTCCATTCTAAATGCATATTACTATTTTAATCAAAGTTTTAAGTCTTTTAGAGGGAATAAAATGATCTTGTATGGTAAATGATGGTACAAGCCATCAGCAGTGCAGGATGGTTGCACGATCAGGAGAAGCCTATTTGCTTAAATGCTTTAAAATGATCTACGTTAGTGGTGGTGATGTCTTGTCCATGGAGCAGATCAGATCGGTCCATGCACCCTGATCACAATACCGGCCAACTGAGGTGGTGGTGTCTTGTCCACGGAGCAGATCAGATCGGTCCATGCACCCTGATCACAATACCGGCCAACTGAGGTGGTGGTGTCTTGTCCATGAAGCAGATCAGATCGGTCCATGCACCCTGATCACAATACCGGCCAACTGAGGTGGTGGTGTCTTTTCCATGGAGCAGATCAGATCGGTCCGTGCACCCTGATCACAATACCGGCCAACTGAGGTGGTGGTGTCTTGTCCTTGGAGCAGATCAGATCGGTCCATGCATCCTGATCACAATACCGGCCAACTGAGGTGGTGGTGTCTTGTCCTTGGAGCAGATCAGATCGGTCCGTGCACCCTGATCACAATACCAGCCAACTGAGGTGGTGGTGTCTTGTCCATGGAGCATATCAGATCGGTCCTTTCACCCTGATCACAATACCGGCCAACAAAGGTGCCTTGTCCGTATGGATGTCCTCTTCTGGATTGATGTCTGCCATAAAGAAGGCTGCAAGGATGGCCGGGTATATATGGTCCGGAGTGAGTTGGGTGTTAATAGTCTACGTTAAATACATGATTGTACGGATTCCTCTATGTAATTCCAACATTGTCATGTGGATGCCAGGATGTCGATCCCAGCAAGCAGAGTGTCATCGTTGAGCTCTTGCTGATGAAGAAGCAGCAGGCGCGGCTCCACCAGAGGCTGGTAGGTTGTACATATCGCCCTGGTCAGCTGATGGACAGGTGTTTCTGCTAGGGTAACATCAGGAGACTTGTGGAGGAAGCCGAGAGAAACCACAAGACCCATGTTCCAGTATCTGCGGTGAGGGAGGTACTCTCCACCTCGCTCCCTGAGCTGGCTGAGGATGTCATCAGAGAGCAGGTGGCTGGAGACACTGCGCTGAGAAACGGCAAGTCTTTATTTACATACTTCCCATTTCTTGAAGCCTCTAGTACCATATTATACCAAAGTATTCATTATATTATTAACACAGTATCATTGTTTTATGTTTATATATTTCTACTCTGTATTCCCTCATTGCTTATAAGCATTTGTTTATCATTCATAGTTGGTTACCTACGGCCATACCACATTGAAAACATCTGTTCTCGTCCGATCACCGAAGTTAACCAATGTCAGGCCCGGGCATTACTTGGGAGGGTGACTACCTGGGAACACCTAGTGCTGTAGGCTATTACCTTTTTTCATTTTGGTTAGCAGCCCCGTAAATAAAGATATTTCCGTTCATAGTTGGTTCTTGCCTTAAATAAATTGCTGTGTCATCCTGAAGTTTGTCTTTCCTAATTTTCCACGTGGCAATATATTTGGTCGTAGAGATACACCATGCTGACGAGGGCCAACAGCCCATAACGCGTACCATGTTGGCTTTTCTTGATTTGTCAATAAAATGGGTTGGACTAAAATTATGAAACAAACCTAAATCAACCTATATCTGAAAGATTTTTTATTCACAGTGAACTTTTTTGAAGATACACGAGATAACTTAGTGCGAACAAAAATTGCCTCTGTCTCCTTAAAAAAAAAAATAGACGACACCAGCGTGATACTAAAAACTTTCTACTTCCTCAAGTTTTGTCCATGAGCGTATCATTCTCCATATAGGGAGCTTAAATGAAAGATGTGTTCCAGGATGGGGAGGACTAGTCCGTCGCAAGAGCTACAGTCTTGGGGGATTGGACTTCGACGAGGAGGATGAAGAATTGGAGAGAGCCGAGGGATCTTCGGCTTGCACCATCCTCTAGATCTCTCTTTTAGACCTTCCTAGACCTCAAGGATCATCTCTAAATACCATCGACTTCCTCAACCCTATAGTTCAATCATAGATATTCCCCTAGACATTGGGTGATATCCTGACAAGTCCCGTCAGTAAAGTTCCAAGAAAGCAAGGTTCAGGAGTTTAGAACTTCCTAAACTTCAAGTGTCATCTCCTAAAGACCTAAATACCATCGACTTCCTCAACCCTATAGTTCAATCATAGATATTCCCCTAGACATTGGGTGATATCCTGACAAATCCCGTCAGTAAAGTTCCAAGAAAGCAAGGTTCAGGAGTTTAGAACTTCCTAAACTTCAAGTGTCATCTCCTAAAGAACTAAATACCAGTGACTTCTCAACCCTATAGTTCAATCATAGATATTCCCCTAGACATTGGGTGATATCCTGACAAGTCCCGTCAGTAAAGTTCCAGGAAATCAAGGTTCAGGAGTTTAGAACTTCCTAGAACTCAGGGGTCATCTCCTAAAGAACTAAATACCAGTGACTTCTCAACCCTATAGTTCAATCATAGATATTCCCCTAGACATTGGGTGATATCCTGACAAGTCCCGTCAGTAAAGTTCCAGGAAATCAAGGTTCAGGAGTTTAGAACTTCCTAGAACTCAGGGGTCATCTCCTAAAGAACTAAATACCAGTGACTTCTCAACCCTATAGTTCAATCATAGATATTCCCCTAGACATTGGGTGATATCCTGACAAGTCCCGTCAGTAAAGTTCCAGGAAATCAAGGTTCAGGAGTTTAGAACTTCCTAGAACTCAGGGGTCATCTCCTAAAGAACTAAATACCAGTGACTTCTCAACCCTATAGTTCAATCATAGATATTCCCCTAGACATTGGGTGATATCCTGTGTAGAAACACAAGTCCCGTCAGTAAAGTTCCAGGAAATCAAGGTTCAAGAGTTTAGAACTTCCTAAACTTCAAGTGTCATCTCCTAAAGAACTAAATACCAGTGACTTCTCAACCCTTTAGTTCAATCATAGATATTCCCCTAGAGAACAGGGGTCGGCTAACTGTGGTTCGCGAACCACATGCGGCTCTTCGGATGTGAAGCTCTTTATATAGTTCCATACGTAAATATTATTTATGTGAGTACTATTTATTGTTGGCAAGAAAAAAAAATAATTTGAAAAAAATGTCGTTCTACAATCTACAAATACTACTAGGAGTACAAGACTTCAGCTCTACTTCCTTACCTGGTTCATCACAGCAATCTACCCTCCTCATGACTCTAAATGTCTTCTACACTATGGCTGTACAGCCATTGGTATTTCGTGATTTACGCTCCAGAAACCCTGGTTAACTCTATTTTCTCTTTTTGGAAATCTTGAAGAAAAACTGATGTTATCTCAAAAAAATTAAATTCAAACCATTTTATTCGAGAGTTATGGAAAACATATTATAAAATAAATATATTCAAACAGAAGCATATTTATGAAAAAGGCATCTCCTTATCGTGCAACTGAAAATTTGTTTAAATAAAAGTAAATTCGAAAAAAGATTCATTTTTAATGGACCAAATAGTAGCTCGACGGTGGCGCTCGAGTGGCAGAATTGAGAACTAAAATTATCTTTATAAAAATATGACGCCTCATATAAATTTAAATATGGTCAACTTCAAAAATTGTATAATCATATTTATATCTATTAGTGTACCCTCCAAACAAGTAAATACATTCAAACTTCCCTTTAAACTGCTCGAAAATACCAAAGGAAATTTAGTTCGTACTTCTGCCACTCGAGCGCCACCATCGAGCTGATGTTTAGTCCATAAAAGATATATATTTTATTTTTTTTTAAATGCTGATATATTTTATTATTTAAATATTTATGTTATTATATATTTAATTTGAGAATACAAATATACACTTCGTACATAGAGTGAAACATTAGCTTTTATTTTACTCTATACCGAAAAAAAAACTTTTGATTTAAGAATAGTTTCAATTTGTATTCATAGATGGCACAACGTCCTCATCGTATATTCGAAAATGTTTTTGTTCTCAATTTTTTAACGTATAAACACGATTTAAAATATATATATACAGTATACGTATTCAAAATTCGAAACTATTATAGACACGTATGGTTCTTTTTAAAAATAAACAATTTTTACAGCCCTTACTGTAATGGAAAAATTAAAGGGAGGCCATTTTAGTTCCCACTTCTGCCACTCGAGCGCCACCGTCGAGCTAATGTTTAGTCCATAAAAGATAAATACTTTACTTTTTTTTTTAAAGCTGATATATATAATAATTATTATTATAATAAATATAATAATAATAATTATTATTATTAAAATATTTCCATTTCAGTAAGGGCAGTAGATTTTATTTATTTTTAAAAAGAATCATACGTGTCTATAATAGTTTCGAATTTTGATAACAGATGGCGCGCTATGCATTATAATCTTAAAAAGGCTGTTACTCCTCTAGTCCCACCAGTGAAGAAGTTCCAGGATTTCAAATTCCAAGAGAATTCCAATAGTTTGTGAGTAGAAAAATTTGAATGAATTTTGAAGGATTCAGTCTTAATCTTACTAACTCTTTTATCTTGAGAGAATGATATAAGGTATATATATATTTGGTTCTATCCTCTGAATCTTCAGATAGTATCCTACAAGAAACTTTTTTGCCTTTGTTTTTCTTTTGGTACTACAGTAGAACTAACTCCCTGTAATGGACAACACCTAATTGCAGAGCCAAAGTGTCCTTTAGAGAGAGGTGTCCTCTTACCAGAGAATTGTTAAATAGTAAAAATGGTAATTTTGTAAATGAAAACTGTACTTTGTGGAGAGGTGTTCGCTAGCGGTGTGTCTGCTAAATGGAGGTTCTACTGTTCCACCTTCCTGTGATTTGAATAGAACTAAAAAGAGTGGAGGGATAAACCTTTTAATCTACTCTTCATATCTCCCCAATTCTTTCTTTGACTTTAACAGGAATGTGATAGAACAAACAAACAAAAACAATTTTATTGATTCTTTTAATCAAATTTTACAAAGGTGGAAAAATAAAAGAGTAAAAAGTCATATAAAGTGTAGGGGAATATATATATAGTTGTGTACAAATGTCTTCAGCAAGGAAGGCTTCCCCACCTTGAGAGAGTCCTCCTCCAGACAAGGTCTTCACTCCTCAGTTCCGTGCCGAGGAATGTGATAGATAGAGCTGAATGTTTTAGGATTCTGATAAGTTTCTCTCTGTGGATGCTATTCCTGATTTCAATGAGAAGCTGAAGGGACCTACATAAACTTCACTTCATTCTTTAATTGAGCAACAAGAATCTAAAGAAATAGGTAAAAGGTTGTACCTTACCATTGAGGTATCTGAAATGTCTTTGAATCACTTCACATCAAGTTTTGTAAAACATGATATTCTCATAAACACAAGGTAATAAGACCAAATCCAAATAAATAAATAGTGTGTGACGTTTCGGTAACAGCCTTGTTACTATCTTCAGACAAAAGTACTGAATCATATTTATTTATTTACCAGTTGCAAACAAGACACGCTCTATCCGATCTGGATAATTGTGCGTGAAACTATTTACAATAATTGTAGAAGAGTAGGTAACAGAATTGTCAAAAGAAAATAAACAACTAAGAAAAAGAGCATTGAATAAACTGAATCATATACTGAACCATTCAGTACTTTTGTCTGAAGATGGTAACTACACTGTTACCGAAACATCACACACTATTTAATTATTTGGATTTAGTCTTATTACCTTGTGTTTATAATCTATAATCCAAATTCTGCCTTATCATGATATTCTCATGGACTTCAAGGAATTTCTAAAGGAAGCTACAGATACCTTGTTCATGTCTATCCTATAGTATTCCTCTGGTGGCATTCCTTATGGATACCTGTCCTTGTCTATCCTCCAGTTCTCTGGTCCACAGGTATCCGTAATGGAATGTTACCAGAGGGAGACTGAAGGATAGACAAGACAGGTATCCATTCCTTATGGATATAAGCCATCCTTGTCTACCCGTCATGGACATTTGTCTTTCTTTTCATTGATTTATCCTCCAGTTCTATTGTAGCATTCAGGACTTTAAAGGTGGGGGTTGGTGGAAGGATGGTCTAAACGGTTGGTTTTTCGAGCGCTAAGACCCGGGTTCGATTCCCGCATTGGACACTGTTCTGATTTAAAAAAAAATGCTCGAGTGGCCCCCGATTCTTGCAGAAGTCCAACCCCACCAGTGAGTGCAAGTAACCAAACAGGGCTCTGGTACATTTGTGAGTGCAAAGTCGAACTGCTTTTCACATGTGTAGACATGTGGTGCACTTACAGTAAAAGCAGTTGCCTACTTCTACCCACCATGATTATCAATGCCTGTACCATGTGTACTAGGGATTAGCAAAAAAAAAAAAAGGACTTTAAAGAGGAGCGCAAAAAA